TAATTTAGCAGGGAAGCTAAGCTAAGCTAAACTAAAAGTGCTCCTGAATGGATTCCAAAATGGTAAAACTCAGTTGTTTAACCCTGGGGGAGTTATAGAAATTAGCTTTCTTTAGCCTACTTTAAAATAAATGGTTAACATTTAGCTGAAAACAAACACAAACAACTTAGTGCCTTTGTCCATTGCTGTTCAGAAACCAAACAGTAAACAAAAGTAAACAAGACAAATGCTAACGCTAACAATAAATGCTAACGTTATATCGAGTGCATATCTGACGGTGTCTCCTGCACCCGTAGGTGGCCCGCAGATGGGGAAAGAGGAAAAACAAGCCCAAGATGAACTATGAAAAGCTGAGCCGCGGCCTGCGCTACTACTACGACAAGAACATCATCCACAAAACGTCCGGCAAGCGCTACGTCTACCGCTTCGTGTGCGACTTGAAAAGCCTGCTGGGATACACTCCCGAGGAGCTGCACACCATGTTAGACGTCAAGCCCGACACGGACGAGTAAAGTCTGGACAGAAGAGAGAGTAAAAGGAGTCCCTGAAAGACCCTGCAAAAGACAAACGGGGCGTCCAGTCACATTCCAACACTGTTTTGAGCTCAAAAAAAAAAAAAGAGGAAGAGTCAAAACATTTACCAAAGTTTAGAATCTCTGTGCGTCGATGTTGATTTAATGATCTGCGAGGAAGGGAAAACTCTAAGTTCAGGTAGAAGCAACTCAGTAGCACAAACACCGGGAAGGAACCGAGGACAATGACACAGTTTTTTTTGTTTTTTTTTGTTGGACTGTTATCAAACATGTTGCCAAAATTAGAGACGAGAGGATGATCGCAGAAATGTTCACCGTCGAGTTAACTTGCATTCCTGACATGAGGAAAAGTTCTCAGCCGGACCAAATTTACTTTTATTATTGTTTCTTACAGATCTATATGTGTCAGTATTAATTTGTGCGTAGAATTTACGCCATTTTGTACATTTATATATATATATATATATATGCAGAAATGAAGGTTTATTGAAGTCAAACTGTTCTTAGATGCTTCTTTTAAGGTCACGGTTGGTTATGGGTTGCTCTCGCCACAGTGTGTCCGTAAAACGCTGTTTTTGATCAGCAGATCAAAATAGACGCCAGAGATCTTGCCTTTTTCACTGAGAGCGAGCGAGAGCAAACGCACGTTTGTGGTGAGCATTTCTGACACCGCTGCTGTCTACGAAGACAAAAGACATCAAACATTGGTTTGTTTGTACGTGAATCGTTTTTCATAAAGTCTTGCCTTAATATAGCACATCACGTTACTGTGTTTTCTCTAGGTAAACCGAGACGTGTGTAGGTAGGTGACAACTGAAATGTCGGGCCTCTTTGCAATCAAACGAAAGGCTGAAGCCATAAAAAGACGAGAAGTGCACACGTCAGCGTGAATCTGGAGATTGACGAAACTGCCTGGTGTTTGATTTGGAGAGATTTGGCTTTGAGAAAGTACACCAGATCATGCTGATACGTTTTTTTTTTTGTTCTGTTGTTTGGCAGCTTTAAAGATAACGCCGTGTGTACTACTGGCACAAGAGTTGAAAATGGGAGTCTGCTTCAGTATTATGGACATTAAAGCCAGAGTTATATTACAGGAATAGCTTAGATATCTGAAGAAACGGCACTTATATGTGCTACTCTATCCAGTGTTTTGGGTTTGGTTCATACGCAGCAGCATTTGGACTGTTTCACTGTGTGGGAAGGGTCTGAGATACACAAGACCTCGTGGGAAAAGCCAAAGTAAAGAGCGCTCTTCTAAGAAAACAAATCGTATTGTTTACAGTGGCAAAACCCGTCCGCATCGGTGTGGCTTTGGAATTGTCTATTTTTACAGAGAACATTTGATAAAATGGCTATTAAAAATAAACCATATTCACTTGAATATGCAGAAGAACAGCAGAATGAGCGATTTTTCCAGAAAGCCAGCGTGAAACAGGATTATTTTTACTTTTAAAATGAGGTCACAATGCAGTCTCTGATTGTAAAAATCGTAACAAGTGATGCATTGCATGTTTTTTTTTTTTTTTTACATGTTTTTATTTCCCCTCAATTTTGCCTTATTTTGTATGTTTTGGTTTTGTTCAAATGACTTTTTTTATGTATTTAGTTCACAAACATTTTTGATATTTTTCCAATAATTTATATTTTATAAACTTTTGAAATATATGCAGACAGCTGGTGCTTTCGTGGGAAATTGAATCAAATAAGGTAGCGCAGGACAAATTATGTAGCGGATTATCATTATTATTTTCTTTTATATGAATTCTGTCGTTTAAAAACAGACGATAAAAAGACCTGTCTGCTTCTACAGTTGTGTATAGATAAGGCTGATGCTGGCCCATCATTATGTTCTGCTGAAGAGTTTTATAAACCGTAGCTTCTATTTCTTATTGTACTTTAAATGGTTCTGTTATTAAAATATATGTGGAGAAAAGCCGGACTTGTTGTTTGGTTTTAATGCTGAATCAAACGGAAGACACACCCATAGCAACACAAACAGGTGAAGCCACACACACACACACACACGCACGCACACCTTGCAGCTCTCTGCAAGCAGTTGTGGCAGATTTGTGGTTTGGTTTATTATGAGTCTTGGTTAAATGCGCAGCTCGTTTCTTTCATTGCTAATCATCACACCCACCGCAACTGCATCTTTCTTTTTTTTGTGCATCCAGCAAAAGCCGTCGCTACACGGAAACATCCAAGTTGTTACCTTTGATTCTCACACTTGAGACTCATATCGTTTCGAGGGTTTTTTTTTTTTTATTTCTTCTGAGGAAAGCGACTGGGAATGTGCAGTGAAGCCCCTCAATATAGACCCCTGACGTAAGAACTAAAACAGACACAATGAGTCCATTCATGAGAATATAACTAATAAATTACGAGTGTCTGTCCTCTTCATCCAGACACAAAGACTTTTTTTTTCTGGTGTGGGATATCCTACACCAAAAAAAAAAGTCTGTTTAAAAAAAAAAAAAAAAAAAAAAAAGGAAATATATATATATATATATATATATATATATATATATATATATATATATATATATATATATATATATATATTTTTATATATA